GAAGATAAAAGTAGACAAGACTTCAGATGAAGAACAGCTGAAAGATGAACGCTTATTCTTGCAAATCATGGATTTTTTTTAGTAAAGTTATATTATGTTCTATGCTATGAAATAGAGAAATGTTTTAATTAAAATGAATCCTGAAAATTCCTAAAAAAAAAATAAACCACCAAGGATTCTCAACTTCCATAGGACATCTTTCGACAACGCTCCTAGATTATATCAGTCGCCTATAGAATGGTATCTATGTCAAATAGATGCTGTTCAAAAATACATTGAGACATTCGATACCCCTTGATAAAAGTTAAAGTGGAAAAGCTAGAAAATATCCCTCCCAGAACATCACCTTCCTATCGTTCCTGAAAAGTTTTGAGCCTCTCCTAGATTAGAATCGCTCCGCCGCCTCTGGGTCAGGTACTGATTGAAAGCCAGTATCCGTCACCGACCAGCAATCATAAACTCTGAAAATAATATGAAGATCTCCAAAAGCATTATATAAGACAGATTTCTGTTTTTAATTGACGATGTAGTTATAATCAACTGTTGTTATACAGTTATATAGCATTAGATGTTTACTATATATTGTAAGCGATAGCGATTTTTTCAAGCTATTTATGCTTGAATAAGACGAAATAATTATACTTGGTATGACAAAAAATAATTCCTAGTGAATAATACAATGTTCTCGGGAGATCACCCGGAGACTTTTATTCAAATTTCAATTTCCCATTTGATAGAGACTATTATCATCTAGTTTTGGCAGATGCGTAAAGATGCGGATTTAAGGCGACCCCCATTGCCTACTCAAAATTTTCATTTTTTCCTTATGTGTGATATGAAGATTTATATGTCCTCTATCTAATGAGTACATTTTAAGAAGGCGAAATCACCTTTTTGTGTATAAAAAACTTGAAAAAAAAATTTATGCTAAAAAAGATAAAGAGTGCAACTTCCTTTGGTTTTTTCTCAAAATCAAATTTTCAAAGAAAAAATTGAAGTTTTCCACCCTTTCCTTCAACACGATCCGACTCATTGAGCTCAAACTTGTTGCATGTGTACGTCGATCGAATTGAGGTGTGTCTTTGTTTTTTCGCTTGCAAATATTGTACCAATGAAGTTTTGCAAATTTTACAAAATTAGTACCATTCGGTAAAAAGCATCTTTTAATGATTTTTTGTTAATGCCTTCAGTGTTTTTCTTCTCCTGGGCATCAGAAACAATATTTCTCAAAGCAAAAACGAATGACACAACCAGATTTGATCCTAGTTGCCATGGAAAGATTTCAACCCTAAAAAACGCACTGGTTGTCACAAATCACGGCGTGAACCGCAGAGAGTCAACACAGAAGTTTCAAAGCTGCCTCTGACATTTGACCTGTGACCCCACCCCTTCGTCTTATTATCTCGTCGCCTCATTAGGTCGTTGCGTAACCAGCAGCCCTACACCCGCACCCACACGCCGAGGTAACGAGGTAATCAGGTAACGAAAATGAGATCGACAGTTTAAGGTTTCCTTGGCGCGACTCGTTGCGGTAACGCCGTGACTTGTGGCAAGCACTCAAAAAACTTAGTGCGGACATGTGAGGAAGAGGGGAAACTTCAGGCCATTTTTTGTTCTTGTACTCGCAAGATCTTCGAGATGGAAGCATTTAGGGATTTTGAGCCTATGGCAAGTTTTACTCTACTTATCGAGATATATCGACCCTGCAAGTTTTAAAAAGTTTCGGTGAATCGTTCTCGAGAAAAATCGAAAGGAGGGAGAGCGGTCCCGTTAAACTCTTACCGGGATACATAGTCTCAAATATAAACGTCGACGTAAATCTGCTTCCACTAATTTCTACTGTTATTGCTTATCTTCCAGATCGCCGGAGTTTTAAATAGACAATGCGATATCAAACATATACCTTTTTTAAGTTTTACATTGACTCGTTCGTTCAAGAATCCGCTTTTAAAATCTTAGGAATTAATAGTTCAAAATAGCTACGCATAATCTTTAGTGTAAACTGTGAAGTGATGTGTTTCGCATTTTATTATTTTGCCGTTTATAAAAGAATATTTAGTTACATGGTCGTGCACCATGTAGGCCGTAAGGAGCTGTGAACACCCTGAAAAGAACTTGCGTCCCTAGCTTATTTTTGTCGAGATATTTAGTTTTTCTGGTATTTTTAAGCACAACGCTGTGGTTCCTTTCAGATACACCCGGAAAATCAACTTTCGAATGTCGACTTGAAACTTTTCACAGAGAAAGGTCTCAATAAGACTAATTAGTTTATTCTGGAGGTTACAAACCTCTTGGTTGCTCCTATCCTAAAATATGAAAATTATACATTTTTGTGCTATAAATGATGTGAAAAATACTACTGTTTTCTTATATTCATATCTCGGGATAGAAGGAAATCAAATATCTGAAACTGCCAGAATAAACTAGTCTTATTGAGATCTTTCTCTGTGCAAGTTTCAAGTCAAGATTCGAAAGTTGATTTTCCAGGTGTACCTGAAGGAAGACCACGGGGTTGTGCTAAAAAAAGCTGAAAAAACTAAATATCTCAACAAAAATAAACTAGGAACACAAATTCTTTTCAGGATGTTCACAGCTCCTTAGAGTCTACATGATGCGCATAGGCTCGACTCAAAAGCTAATTGACACCTGGAAAATTAGTCCTCAACACCGTCTTCTGCCTATTGTGCGCCACATCCGCAGGAAAACCCATACCGATACTCAAACCGATACGCAGAGTCACAGCCAGCCGACACCCACACGCAGATTCACATCAACACCCAAAACAGAAAGAAAGCGAAAAATATATATATAAAATTTAATTTCGTAATACAAGTACTTTGTCCTTGTGTACTGCTGATAAGACATAGAGATTAAATGACATAGAAGATTGATCTTGTTAAGTAGCAGTAGTATTAACATAGAAGGAGGAAGAAAAAAGAAAGAACACATGTTTATGTAAGTGATATTTTTTTTGAGTTCGTGTAGCATTAACATTATAATTAGAAAGGGTAAGTTTGTCATGCATCCGCCGTAGAGAATCTTAAAAGCTTTTTTGTTGTCTGAGTCTGTCATACTATACGGTTCTTTCTGTCCATTTCAGTTTATCCATTACGTGGAAGTTCCATTAACATTCATCCAAATGCTCAATGGAAACAGAATGGTATCACTGTGGCTGGAGGAAATGGATATGGCAATGGAACCAATCAACTCCACAACCCACATGGTTTATATGTTGATGATGAAACAATTTATGTGGCTGATCAAGCGAATCATCGTATTATGGAATGGAAACGTGGTGCAACGAATGGCCAAGTGATTGCCGGTGGAAATGGACAAGGAAATGGTGCTCATCAGTTGTCTGACCCATATGATGTGATTATCGACAAACAAAGAGATAGTCTCATCATCTGCGACTATTCGAACAAAAGAGTGGCTCGATGGCCTCGTCCAAATGGAACAAGTGGAGAAACAATCATCACTAACATCGAATGTTTCGGTTTGACAATGGACGAGGATGGTTCTCTTTATGTCGTTGACTATGAAAAACATGACGTGAGACGATATCGAAGAGGAGAATCTCAAGCAACGGTGGTTGCAGGTCGCAATCGAAGTGGAAATCGTCTGTATCAACTCTCTTACCCACATTACGTATTCGTCGATCGAGATCAGTCAGTGTATGTGTCTGATTGTTGGAATCATCGTGTGATGAAATGGGTGGAAGGTGCAAAACAAGGCACTGTTGTGGTTGGTGGTCAAGGAGAAGGAAATGGTCTTACACAATTGTCATATCCTCGAGGAATCGTTGTCGATCAATTGGGCACTGTCTATGTGGCTGACTCCTGGAATGATCGAATCATGCGTTGGCCCAAAGGATGCACACAAGGAAGTGTCATTATTGGTGGAAACGGTGGAGGAGGACAATCAAATCAACTCAATAGGCCCTTCGGTTTGTCATTCGATCGACACGGTAACCTCTATGTCGTCGACTGGGGAAATCATCGAGTACAAAAATTCAATATCGAATTCAATGGATAGACATAAACAGAAAGACTGAATATAATATGTGTGTCAAGATATGATTATTTATATTTGTAATTTGATCTTCATTAATAAACTTTCCAATGAAAATGTATTTTAAAAGATCCGTTCGATCCTATTATCCGCGGCCTTCCAACCAAGTCACTCCTTCCGCAACTCTATATCTCATCCGCCATTATTTGCGACAGATAAAAAAAAGAAAGTTTAGATAGAAATATATACTCATCTACAGACATATTTATATTTATACATAAAATCGACACATCGCCATATCGTTACATTATCACTTCGTCACTTCGCGAGATGGTAACATCGTTACTTTCTGGGTGTGGGTGTGCACTGTAAAAAGAAAACGTAGAATACTAAACCCTAGTACTAGAGCAAAAGCTTCCTAAACCCTTAAAAGGTTTATGTTTTTGTCCGAAACCCTAAAAGGGTTTATGGTACCAGAATTTAAGAAGACGGGCTTATTAATCTACGATGAAGGATTTCTGGTTCTACCCTTGTATGCAAAGGGTTTATTATTCTATCGTTCCATAAAAGGGTTTTTATTCTGTGTTCGAAACTTTTTTAGTCTACTTTGAGTTGTCGATTATTCTTTGGTTATTTCCGAAGTAATAATTATTTGTTGTATCGAATGGCCAAACCCTTCTCTTAGATTACTTTTTTCTTTGTAAATTCGCGGAATAGATGGATATGACTACATACATTTGGTCAATCAATATTTTACCTGAAACTATTTTAATCACACACGTTATACACCTATATCAGAATGATGTTGAATTTTGCGGTTGATAACACCATTTATTGAATAATGTTGCGATTAGATACACAATCTTACAGCAGAAATTCACACGAGTGAAAAAAGGAATAACTTTAGATTGTTTTCCGTTGAAATGGCATTGAATTCTCACATCAGTAACTTTTATTTTTCATTTACATCAGCGTCAAAAACAAAACGAAACTTAGTTTTATATACACGAAACCGCCATAATGAACGTAAGTATTATTAATAAAATCTATAATTAGCTCACGAGGGAACCTCCCAAGGTGTCCAACGCCGATTTCCTTCATTCACATGTTGCTTGATAGAGGGCATCGAGATAGGAAAAAGCTCAAAAGGATTTGGGCTGACAGCTCTTCCTTGAAAAGTTATGG